GAGTTTGACAAGCTCAACCTGCCAAAACCACGTTGAATAATTAATCTCAATAAAGCAGTTTCACCTAGTGTTGTTTGTACTAAATTAGTGTTATTAACTTTAAGATGTTTAACAAACACTGGTGCTTCCTCTTTTCATTGTTGCCACATGGTCTGACTCATATTCTCTTGAAATAAGAATGGGAGGATCTATTTTCCATTTCAGCTTTGGCTTGTTGGTGAAACAGTGAACACTCAGGAAGCGAGTTGGTCAGTCGGTTTTGTTAAAGCTTGTGCACAGACCACAAACATCAAAGGACATTTCAGTCACACGCAGAGGGGATGCTTTGGTAGATCGACTGCAGGAGTTGACAGTGCTGTGAAATCTGCAAGGTATTAAGAGGGACCTAAACAAAACTATATTATTTTCTTCAGAGTAACGTACAACAACTACGTTTTCTTTTTTACCTAAGCAGAAAGTCAAGCTCCAAAACCCCTGAACCCATTTCCATTGAGATTTGTATCGAAGTGTTAAGAGTCAAGCACAATTTAAGCTAATAATTTCCTATAGCCAGCTACTGTCATATCAAGCGCTCTGCTGGATCCTGCTGAACATCGTCAGAATCCCCTCCGTCCTTCACCTACCGGACGACTTCCTCCCCATAGACCCGCCACAGGACAGTTCAGGGATCTCACTGGCCAAGCTTAAACACTGCTTTCAGGAGTTAGGTGTCCCTCTCTCCAAAGAGAAAACGTTAGGTCCCGACACACGCTTAGAGTTCTTGGGCATCATTCTCGACTTCATAGACATGAAGGCGTCTCTCCCCTCCGACAAATTGCAGCGCATCCGGGACATCACCAAGTCATACTGCGAGCAACAAGTCATCACAAAACAACAGTTGCTCCCCCTTCTCGGACACCTCAACTTTGCCATGCGCGTCATCCCCCAGGGGCGCTCGTTCATCTCCCGCCTCCTGGACGCAGCATCGGCGGTCGACAACCTCCATGACTGCGTTTTCTTAGACGAAGGCTGCCGCTCAGACCTACGTTTCTGGTCCCTCCTGCTCGCCCACTGGAACGTAGTTACTTTCTTCTACGATGACCTCGTGTGTTCCTATGACTCAATGAGGTTTTTCACGGATGCCGCCCCATCCGTGGGTTTTGGGGGTTTCTACCAGGGAGAGTGGTTCGCAGGGTCATGGCCCCCGTCATTCCCTAATCATGCTTCATCCTCCGCTCTGCACGAGATCGTTCCGATCGCCGTTGCATGCCACGTATGGGGTCACCTGTGGTTCCGTAAATGCATCTCGGTGCTGTGCGACAACCAATCAGTGGTCGGAATCATCAACAAGGCGCGCTCCCAGTGCAGTGACATTATGCCATTCATGAGAAGCATCACGCGGTCCTCCATAATCCACAACTTCATAATCACAGCTCGCCACATTCCCGGTCACCTCAATGTTGTTGCTGACTCCCTCTCTCGCTTTCATTTCCAGACATTCCGGAACCTCTACCCGGAAGCCAGCTCGCAACCAGTAGGAATCCCTCCACTTCATCTCCTCTCTCTGCACTAAACGAGAGTCCCCTAGCTCGGCACCTCAAGTCTGCTAGATTCTTTATGAGAAAGGGCTTAGCCGCTTCCACCCTCAAATTCTATGATTTCGCATGGAGAACGTTCGCCTTTTTCTGCCGCTCAGTAGGTGTCTCACTCAAACCTGTCCTCATCTCCACCGTGTGCGCCTTCATGTGCTACTGCACCACTGACCGACACCTCAAACCTCAGTATATCCGGAGCCTCTTAGCAGGCATTCAATTTAATATTCGCTGCTCCGATCCTAGCTTTCCCAGCCTATTTTCAAACCCTACAGTTAAACTTATTCTTAAAGGGTTGTATAAGACGTTTCCCCCCGCTGCAGACCCGAGGCTCCCTATCACGCTCCCCGTCCTGCGCCTCATGCTGTCCACACTTAGGAAAGGATTATTCTCCCCCTATATCGACGCGCTGCTCGATGCCGTATTTTTATTAGCCTTCTATGCGTTCCTCCGACCTGGCGAATTCACCACAGCTTCCCTCACGTTCGACCCCAGTCAAGATGTCTGCCTCTCCGACCTAGTCTTCAACGCCAACCACTTTAGTCTCAGCCTCAAACACTCCAAATGCGGAGGAGCCTGCTCCGTTATCGCAGCTCCTATCGATTCCCCGTTCTGCCCTTTTAATTCCGTGATTAAATTCCTGTGCTGCAGACCCCCCACCAATCCGTCCTCACCACTTTTTCTTATTAAAGGAAATGCTCCCTTTACGCAGCGCCTGTTCAATTTCTACCTCAAGCAAGTTCTCATTAAGTCCGGCCTATCACCTACATCATACTCGGGACATTCCTTTCAGGATAGGTGCAGCCACCTCTGCTGCTAATCAAGGTCTCTCCACCTCATCCCTACAACAACTAGGATGGTGGTCCTCCTCCGCCTTCACAACCTACATTCGCCCGGACATCAGCACCGTACTGGCTTCCCAAAGATCTCTCAGACCCTAACTATGGTATCTATGCATATAACTGGTGGTGGTTCATAACACGTTTACACGTATACATGTCTCATTATGGTACCGGATTTCAAACTGCATTCCTGTCCTAGTCCGCGGGCCCCGCCCACAGGGAATAATGTCTCGTCTCACGTTGTATCTACATGTCACGGGCTACATTCTCCTGCACGCAAGTATCTAATCCCAGGCCCTTGCTCAAATGTGTCCGCGTAAAATGTATACCCTGCGACGCCAGGTTGTGGACCGTGTGTCCCCGTAGACTTCGGTCTTGTGGACTGCGGGTCCCCGTAGACTTCGGTCTCGTGGACTGTGGGCCACCGTAGACTTCGGTCTCTGTTAAAAAACAAGATCCCTGCTTCAGCAGGACGTTCGACCTTTGTGGCGGCGTAGTCAAGCCCTGCTAGCCAGGCAGGCGACCCTCAGGTCGTTTTCAGATAAGACCGGCACTGATTTCGGCCGTCAGAGTCTCAGCATGACCCGTAAACTCCGGCAGTGATTCCGGCCTCCTGCCGCATATATATGTTAATCTATTATTTAATCCCCAGAAAACCACAGTCACCCTACAAGGTAAGAAACTCAGTTCATCTCAGTATTCTATACTTCACTGGTTTTGGGGATTTCATCGGAGCGGTTATTTCCCTCCTGAATGATTATCCTGCAAACCGGGGCCTAATTGCCAAACACCATTCCATTCTCCTGTTGTATTATCATGGCAATCATTTCATTCATATGACGTGTAACAATAAATATGTATTCCATACATCACGTCTCTCCGGTTTGAAATGAAAGCTTTAGCGCAAGTTCAATAAGGAAGACCTAACAATGAGTCACTTACATGTCACTCTATTGCTCCCTCCCCCTCATTAAATGCGAGTGCGTCACCCCTCAGCAGCCAATTGCCGCACATGCTAAATTCCTTAAATGCCTGCTCTTCCTCCCTGTCAGTTGTCATTTCAGGTGACCACATGCAACCCGCCTCCACCCCTCTCGCCTCCCGTCTCCTCCAGGACAAAGCTAAACCTTCCACCTTCAGACCGGTCCCACCTACTTATCACCACCACCAGTGTCTAGACCCCGGGGATTTCATCGGAGCGGTTATTTCCCTCCTGAATGATTATCCTGCAAACCGGGGCCTAATTGCCAAACACCATTCCATTCTCCTGTTGTATTATCATGGCAATCATTTCATTCATATGACGTGTAACAATAAATATGTATTCCATACATCACGTCTCTCCGGTTTGAAGTAATTCTGCTCAAAGTGCACCAGATTGAAGCATTTTACTTTAAAATGTTCAACATTTTCTTCCCGGGGGGACATACCCCCCTAGAGGATGTGGTGTCCATCTCCCATTCTATTGTGTATTCCTTGGATACTCTATTGATCTTTATATTTTCTACTGTACGATTCTCTGGCTGGGGGAGGGGGCGCCAGCTAAAATCTCACGTATGGCGGCAAATGGTCTAGAGCCGGCCCTGCATCTGTCAGTCTAAAATGGCAGGAAATTAGTACAACTGTTTATCTTACGCTAGCCAGCACAACACTTTCTATAGAATGAACACAGCTATAAGCCAGATACTCAGATGTTGAAACGCTAATCTAGTGGGAACCGCTGCTAATGTTCCAAAGCTAGGCTAACTAGCTTTGACTTCCTGCACACTGAAAGACATGCTGCTTCTTTAAGTAAACCATTGATAGTTTTTTGTTTCGAAAATAAGGAGACAGTCCAACATAAAATAGGAATCATTCCTCAGTTTTACCATGTTCCCATGTGCAGCAGATGCTAATGGGAAGCATAGGGTGGTACACGTTTTTTTAAAACTTGCCTTCCCAATTAACACATCATCGCCTTTGAATAAATAAAATAAATTAGAGGGCCAAAATACAACATGGAGTTATATATAATTTGCTATCAGAAACACAAAAAGAAGTACAAAAACAGTGGCTCGGAGCATCTTGTTGCAAGTCATCATGTGTGGTTTCCTCTAAATAAGATTTGAGATAATGGGTACGAAGGCTATTGTCCCATTAATACAAGTTGTTGCCAAATCTGACCAGGCCTCACTGGCATGATGGGTACAACTACAAATATCAACCTATAACCACAGCCATTAACTGTAAGCATTCAACATTAACTTTAAAGTAGCACTAAAATGGGTTAAATCACCTCCCACACACTCCCTTTCAACTTCCTTAACAACACACATCCCCTAAATCTAATCTTGAAAGAAATCATACAAAGCGTAAAAGCACATTTAAATTGAACAAATAGAATGACATGGCTGAAAATTACAGCATATTGCTCCAAATAACCTCAAAACACAGTGCATGTTGTGAAAAGAACACAACACCAACCTCCACACATACATTTGAAAAAAAATGATATGCATGTTGTCACATTTACTGTCCTGCAACAACGATTCACACACCTATAGCCACCTGATTGGAACGTTTGGCAAAAGAACAAACCAGTGAGTTCAGCCAATCACAAACAGCCTTCGTCTCCTATAAGAGTAAAGAGAGCGTCCGTCAACACACAGGACACAAACTGCAGAGCTTCAGGGAAGATGCTACTTTGGATTTGTCTTGTGCTTCTTGGTGAAATCTGTGAGTCTTTTACAACTTTTTAGACTTTTTCCGTGTGCATGAATTTAATTTGGATTGAAAAGACAGATTAATAATCCTTTTATGCATTTCTCTTATGCAGGTCAGGTGCCAGCTGTAGGAAAAAACTCAAGTATGACTCAGGATAGTGGGATCATAACAGCTAACGTTGGGCAGAAAGTGACTTTGAAATGTAATTGCGAGGACGAATCTGTAATTTTCCTTTACTGGTACCAGCAAATCTTGGGAGGCAAACCTGTCATCATATCAACTCGAATGCGGAACTCAGATGCTACCATCTCCCCCGGGTATGAAGAAAGGTTTGGCGTCTTTGAAAATCATAATGGAGGCAACAACGATCTCACAATCAAAGATCTTCGCCTGTTGGATTCAGCAAGTTATTACTGTGGGGTTTTAGTATTCAACGCAATTGAATTCGGAAAAGGAGCATTCCTTCATGTCAAAGCATCGAAGTCCAACATCAACGCGGTCGTCCATCAGCTAGCGTTGGAGCCACTTCGGGAGGGAGACTCTGTCAATTTGAGCTGTTCAGTGTATGCTACAGTATGTGAAGGGGAGCAGAGCCTCTACTGGTTCAGACATGGTGCGGCTCAGCCTGCAATCGTATATCCCAGTGCCGGACAGTGTGAACATATCCTTAAAGGAGGGTATGGCATGAGAAATTGCACTTTAAAACTGGCTTTAAAGTCTGTGAGCTCTCCGGATGCAGGGATGTATTACTGTGCGCTGGCCTCCTGTGGGGAGATCGTGTTTGGAAATGGAACCAGAGTGGAGATTTTAAGTAAGTGATTTAAACTTATATTGCATATTTTGCAAAGAATATTGCCATTTTATATTCTATACCAAAATAGATCTACAAAAAAAAGGCATATGACATGTTTTCTTCACAAAATGTGTTAGGAGATTCAACCAATCAACGATTTCTGCTGGTGTATTGCTTCAGTTTGGCATTGGCTGTTTCCATTATTGTGATCCTCGCCTTGGCTTACATTATGTACAAGCTGAAAACAAAGTCTTGCACCGTCTGCAAAGGTAGGACTTTCAGAATAAAAGCTCTTAAACATTGTTAGCTGATTTGACCTAGCTTGATCAGTTGTGTATTTTTGATTTTCAGGAACTGTTTCTCATCAGGCGTGTTCAGCTTCTGATACTTTGGTAGGTGAACTTTAAAACTGAAGCCACACATCTACTTTCTTCTAGGACTATATTTCACACATAATTTGTATTTTTTGTCACTAACAGAGCCAAGATGCAGACATTCTCCATTATGCTGCTCTGAGTCTGAACCGATCCAGAGAACGACCTCACCATGAAGACAACGTGGAAAGTGTTTGTGTCTACTCTAGAGTAAAAAGCAGGAAAGTTTGAAGTACAAAACCATCTATTCTTCCTGTCAATCTATCGCAAGAGAACTTCACTTGACTATGTTCAGAATTAAATAATGTTGAATGAATTGAACATGTGAAATATGTTCTAAGATACCATTTGCCAAGACTATACATTTCTTTATACAAAGCAAGCTCATAAAAAACACTATGTCTATTAATATCTTCCTTTGCCAGAAACAGAAGCATTGGTTGCACCTTTCAATCTAAAGCCGCCCCTCTTCGTTTACTTTTCACTCCTGCGGTAAAGGTGGTGTGAACAACAGAGTAGAAGTTTCCATCAGTGGAAACAACAGTTCGAGCAGCGCATGATCACAGGAAGACTGGCCTTTGTGCAACTAGGGTAAGGGTTAACACCAATGACTTGTCAAAGATGATGTTAAAGAATGTTCACATACCTATAACTCCAACGGTCCAGATATATTTCTTAGCTCATGTGAAGTCTGGTTTGATTGAAGCTTTCAAGTCATTCTATTAAACTTAGTTTTAGTCATCGGTCACAGCTAAGTTTCACAGTTTCATTTCCCCAAAACTCATCTGCCCAAGTTTGACCCCAAGACAGGCTTTTCTAGGAAATGTGTCAAAAATGCAATTTCCAGAACTCTTGTCGTTGATAGAGATACAAAAACATGGGTATTCTCAGATAAAAATACTAAATAACAACATTTTCTTTTTCCCATTTGGCTGGGCAATATGGCTCCAAATACAAAGAGGATATTATGTAATACATTATATGCAAGATATATGATAGTGTCAGTCTGGAAACAATGAACAGTATGTGAAATTGCAAACAATAAATAAAGAGCATCATAAATGAATATAAGAATACTTGAGTAAACGATATTTTTACAGTGTTATTGGTTCAAATGACCTAACTAGCATTTTCCACGTTTCAATTTAAGCATAGTGTGTCTTTATCTATACACATGATATAACAAATGTCTGGACAAAATAAATAAGATGTTACTTTCAGCTAAAATCTACGTTTACATTTTTGGCTAAAATGTGTCTTTTGGAATTGTACTGGTTTTGACTGATGAAAACACGTCTAACACTAGAGAGAACGGTCAAGAACTAACAGGCTAGATGCATCAAACAGTAATGGAAAGTCAAGAGGATGCTGTCTGATCTGAGTCCCTCCTCTTCACAACCTCAAACCACATCCATTTTGCACATTGCCATCTTAAGATAGTCTACTTATCTATTAAGATTACACTCTTCCTAAATATAACAAATTCATTTTGTGTCCAATCTCCAGAGATATCTCGGAAAACACACCAAATGTTTTCAAATGAGTTTAGATCTTCATGAAAAATCGTTCTCACAGACTACATTAACACTGTAGGGGAAACTGACCATGTGATCATCAAGCGTCATGTCAGGCTATTTTTGGTTAGCCAATCAAATGAATGTAAAGATGTACTTTGCAAACGACCAATTAAAACCGTTTCTTCAGCTACGGTTAAGCCCGGTCCCTTTGAAGTGACTGAGGTGAGATATTTCCACTCTCTAACACAACCAACATAACTGATGTCTGTAGCGAGTGAGAAACCGAAAGAAGATCTGCACGCCTGTCAAATGGATATTTAGCTAAGTTAATTCTAAATGTAAAAACGCCACTGTGAAATGTTCCCCTTTGGTGTTTGGCATGTGGTTACTTTGTAAATCAGACGCTCATAAAACTCTCAGTAACACTATGTCAAAGTCAATTGGACACAATTGTTACTGCTCCTTCAAGGTGTGGGAGCGAACAGCGGGGTGACCATATGACATTTATAAAAGACACGCTGCATGTGTGCCCACGCTAAGCGTATTCATGATGCCAGTATACTTCCCAGGTTGTTTACTGTAAATGCGCCGATTTCACTGCACATACCAAAACGTGCAAGAATCTTTTTTTAGCCTTGTGTGGTCACCAATCAAACACGAGCTCTCAGTATACCCTGGTCGTGCATTTCTCTAGGACCCTATGCTTGCTTCGTCTTTGTGGTTTCGAACAGGAAGTCTCTGCAGTGTGTTCATGCACAGCATCCGCACCCTTTTTCAGAAGATCAGAGGATTGTTTTAGAAATCAAACTAATAAAGTAGTTTGATAAAGTATACCAATACTCTTGACAACTGTCCAATTGTCATTTAAAAATCAGCCCGGTATTACAGTACACTCAGTATAAGTTACTGTCACCATCATCCTTTTGGGATAAACAATTTATATTGCTTACTCTTATAACAATTGTTTAAGCCACCTGTTGAATTGCATCAATTATGGGTATAATAGAAAACCTTAATACTTTATACAGAACCATAGCAATCGATGATAAAAAGTCAAATAAGTGCCATTGTGAAGATTGATTGCAAGTACGGAATGAAAACTAGAATCAGATGAGTGGAACATGTCATAAGAAATCATGGATCTGTCTAAATGCAATGTATTCGGTTAAGCATGTGAATGAACATGTGTCCCAATCAGGATTTTAGGTGTCACATCTCGCTAGCCAATCAAACACATAGTCTTATTTCTGAAGAGAGGAGAGCGTGTTCAGATTAATTCATTCAGTGCAGCATTTTGAACACGATGACAACTCCGTTGTTTGCTTTGTTTCTGACATTCCTAGGAGCCGCAGGTGAGTTGTCTGTTGTGCATGCATTTGAATACATTTAATATGATTACCAATTAGCATGCAGGCATTATGAGGCTTTTATAATTGAATTAAATGTTCTCTTTCTGGATCTTTTATAGCCTCTTCAGCTCAGATGACTAGTCTTGAATCATCCATATATGTGCGTCAAGAGTGGTTTTTATTCGGCCACTGTTGGCGACAGCTTGACTTTGCGATGTTTCCACGAAGGTGTTGGAGTGATGTTTTACTGGTGCAAGCAAACTCTGGGACAAAGGTCAAAGCTGGTGTCTAAATTCTATAAACATGAACGAAACGGCACCTTTCGCAATGAATTTAAGAACGATCCACGTCTCACACTAGACACAGGCAATGGTAAAAATCACAATCTCAGATTTACGCATTTCAGAGTCAGCATCTTACTGCTGTACAGGTAGCTATGCAAACCTTTTATAATTTGTAGATGGTGTTACTGTCAGTGTGAGGGGTTCAGGCAATATCATCCCAGCTTTGCCAGTCAGCATCTGAGATCATCCAGTCAGGAGGCTCTGTGACTCTGAACTGTACAGTACACACTGGCAGCTGTGATGGAGAACACAGTGTTTCCTGGTTCAAAAACTCTAGAGAAAGTAATCCAGGACTCATTTATACCCATGGAGATAATCAGTGTGAGAGGAAACCCAACACACAAACCCACACCTGTGTGTACAACCTGCCAATGGAGAACCTGAATCCTTCTCATGCTTTGACGTACTGTTCTGTTGCCTCATGTGGACACATACTGTTTGGAGACCAGAACAAGTTGGACTTAGAATGTAAGTAACAGTAAGTAACAGGCACGTGCACAGATAGTCATCAAAGTGTGCTTGAGCCCCTGCCCTTTTTCTTCCTCCAGAGAAAGTGCCCTTTTTATGGGGTGGTTTTGTTTTCTTTCTTTTTTTTCACACATTATCCCTTTCCAAAAATGTATCGATTGAATACAAAATTAAAATATCAGGTCGGGAGATTAGACTGTGAAGTTTCGATGCTCTCTCTACCCTCCCTCCCTCCCTCCACGTCTCCTGCACAGCGGTGCGGACAGTCATCAGCAGTCACTTCGGACAGACAGGTAGCAGCACCTCCCACTTTACTGTCCCATGTTATGCCGGCTTTTCTTAGCTTGTTTGAAGGTGAGTGGTGATGAACAAATGACTAAACTGCCAGTGCCTCGAGTTTACAGCTAATTAAACAAAAGACAAAAACAAATATAGTTAACTAAGGTACTAGCTAATGGATAAGTTAAGGCTCAATGTTTAGCTAAGACAATTTATCATGAGCATACAGGCTAATGTACTGTAGCCTACTTAAGGGGAGACACGACAGGTGAATACAGTAAAATGTGTACCTAATAACGCTAATACTCGCCACACTGATATGCAAATTAGGCGTTAACCAGGCCTAATTAAAATGCGTACATTTGCATGCAGTTACCAAGGCATGGCAGATGAAAGGATAAAAAAAAAACACAACTTCCCAAGATAGTTACTTACGTCAAGTCAGTATTTCCCCCGGAAATGTTATGTTTAAATTCAGATTAGCTTTATATCTATAGATTAATTCAGACATAACGATCTTTTTGCCTGTAATGTCCTGTCTTAAACAGTAACTTCATAATTTTGATTGTTGGCTGCTCATTTCATTTCATTTCAAACCTTTATTTATACAGATAAATCCCATTGAGATCATTGATTTCTCTTTCAAGGGAGACCTGCTCAAGTAGTTCCACATGAAACATAAAAACATAAATAGAACAACAAAAGGACATCATACAGCATCATTTACATAATTATCCACATAAACAGGTACCAACAGCTTCCGATTGACTAGCATCCAACCGAGCTTTAAAAACATTTAGTGGCACCAGATTGTTCAGTTTCCATTTAATTTGCAGACTGTTCCAAGACAGAGGAGCTGCGCATCTAAAAGCTGTCTTCCCTAAGACAGTCCTAGCAGTTGGCACATTTAATAAAACCACAGCATTCGATCTCAGGCAGTAGCCACTTACAATTTTCCGTGAGATCAGGGAGCAGATATAAGATGGAAGTTTCCCTAACATGGCTTTGTATATAAAAATGTACCAGTGACTGAGCCTCCGTACAGTTAGTGAAAGCAAACCAGTCCTTGCATACAGGGTACAGTGATGGGTTAATGCTTTACAGTTTGTCACAAATCTTAGTGCACTGTGATACGCAGCATCTAACTTGACCAGGCAATGGGCAGGTGCATTCATATACATCAAATCACCATAGTCCAGCACAGGTAAAAAGGTCACAGTGACTAGCCTTTTCCTGGCCTCAAGCGAGAAACAGGACTTGTTCCTGTCGAAGAAACCCAGCCTAACCCTCAGCTTTTTAAGCAGGTTATTGACATGAAGTTTAAAAGTGAGACAATCATCAAGCCAGATACCAAGGTATTTGTAACAGGTAACCACTTCAAGTTTTATTCCTTGCGTAGTTACAATATCTAAAACAGGCTCTGGTGTCTTTTTAGCTTTAGAAAAGAGCATTACCTTGGTTTTCTCAACACTACGTTTTAGTTTAGAGAGCTGAGTCTGAATAATGTTAAAAACAGTCTGTAATTTAACACCAGCCTCCTTAATGGAGGGACCTGCACAATACATCACGGTATCATCCGCATAAAAATGTAAAGTAGCTTCATCCACATGTTCACCTAAACTGTTGATGTAGATGGAGAATAAAAGTGGACCTAAAACAGAACCTTGGGGAACACCATTAGTGATGTTTAACCACTCAGAAGACAGCCCATCAAAGTGTACACATTGGGACCTTTCAGAGAGGTAGTTTACAAACCACCCCACTGCATGGCTGGACATGCCTATACTGGCTAGCCTCTGCTTTAAAATGTTATGATCGACGGTGTCAAACGCTTTGGACAGTTCAATAAATAGAGCTGCACAACTCTGCTTATTATCTAAAATACTCGCCACATCATTCACCACTTTCATTGTGGCAGTGATGGTGCTGTGTTGCTTTCTGAAGCCTGACTGATGTTTAGACAGGATATCATTTTTACATAAAAACACCTTTACCTGTTCACTCACTAAGCGTTCAAGAACCTTAGCCAGAACTGACAACTTAGAGATTGGCCTATA